ATCCGCAGCAAGAAATGTCGTAAAATGAGACGAAATTCACTGAATAAGTGTCTCGCTTGGCAACAAAAAAAGTTTGGGCTCAACTGTATATCTGGATTGAATCTCTCTTGCAGTATATGAAGCCAGAAAGGTTGTGCCTGGCACATTGACTTGTGTGTTTATCATATTTTTGAAAGAAGCATTTCCTTCCCAGATGGATTCTGGGGCGATGGCCCATTAAATATTAAAACATAAAATGAAAGCTGAAAATTTAAAAAGGGGGTGGAACGTTTTAAGTGGAGCAAAGTACCTCCAGGGACAAAGTCTGCCTGGATCCTTCGCCTTTGGAAGGGCCTAGGAAGAGCACACGCGCCTTCTATTTATACAAGCGTTACTCACTCTGCCAACACCTGTGGCACTTTGCACAAGTGTCACTCAGGGGGCCTGCTCCTTGAGTAAATGCAGATGAGGTTGAAAAAACACAGCCCAGGAAAATTCTTTCTGTGTTCCACCCACCCTGCTCCTAATCTAGACAACAGTGTTGATGTCCATTCCGCAGATGCGAGACGGCTGTTGTGAGTTTCGCCCCATTGTATGACCTTTCTTGCCACCGTGGTGAAATGAATCGTTGCAGTTGTTAAGTGAGTTACACATGTGATGACCCAAAGGGGCGTGGCCCAAAAGCAACACGGCTAGATCATAAGTAGGAGTCCCTTTATTAGCTCTAATCTTTGCCCCCAAGGTCCTGTTTACCTTCTGGGCTGGATAAAAAAAACTCTCTCCCAGGAAGAGCCTTGGGCTGCAGAGAATCAAGTCCAAAACGTGGTCAACAGAAAACTTTATAAGTCCAATCAAGGCAAGATGAGGTAGTTAATCCGACAGGGCAAGATAAGGAGTTCCAGAAGAGAAATAGGCCTGTCTGGAGGCCAGGAATGCAGATAACCACACTCAACACAAGATGAACTCATGTTTGTTCCTGGCAAACACAGCTCTCAGTTGCCTCTCTTTTAAACTCTCTTCCCAGGTATGCCTAGTGAAGGGAATTAGGGCCCTTTCCTCCCCCATAAGCCACATTGCTCTCTTCTCCGTTCTTTCCTGTGTGCCCTCAGATGAAGAGGGGGTGGGCCTGGGTCTTCTTGTGAACTCCCTCTCCCTTGTTCTCCCTCTCCCTTGTTCTACCTTTCCCCTACTCTGCCCAGCCGGACTTTGCCCTTCCCCCGTTTCCTCCGCAGCCAATGGAGCCACACTTCTGCTCCCTGTCAGCCGTTCGTCTTCCTCCTCGGATTCAGATTCCGACAGGAGTATGACAACATGGTTGTTAAGTGAATCTGGCTTCCCCCTCAATGACTCTGCTTGTTGGAAGGTCGCAAAAGGGAATCACGTGACCCCGGGGGACACTTCAACCGTTGTAAATATGAGTCAGTTGCCAAAGCATCCAAATTTTGATCGAGCACAGAGATGCTGCAAAGACTGTAACTATGAAAAATGGTTATAAGTCACTTTTTTTTTCCAGTGTTATTGTAACTTTGAACGGTCACTAAACATTGTTAAGTCGAGGACTATCTGTATTTATGACAAATGCAGGGATCACCCATTGTGACCTTCTCGCAAGCGAAGTCAATGGAGGGAAGCCAAAGTCGCTTAAAAAAAAACCACAACACAATTCATTTAACGACTGCAGAGGTTCCCTTAACAAACGTGGCAAAAAAAGAAAAGGACACAGAATTGAACACGACTCGCTTAATAACGGCTTTGCTTACCAATGGACATTCTGGTGTCAACTGCGGTCGTAAGTCAAGGACTTCCAGCCCATACAAATAATAGATAAGCGAATTCTAACTGAGGTTTGTAAACTGAGAACCAAGGTGATGCATGCTATAGAAACATGAATTGAATGCTACCATATTTCCCCCCCAAATAAGACCCTGTCTTATATTTTTTTGCCACCAAATAAAGGCACTAGGTCTTATTTTCGGGGGGGGGGGGGGATGTCATCCACGGATTAACCTCACTTGTGTGCATTGCCCCCGGCCTCCTTTTCGCTGTCAGAGGCCTTCAGGAACTTCTTCTTCTGCACCCGTCAAGGCTTTCCTGAAGGCTTATATGACTGATAACAGAGCTCAGGATCGATCCAGAGCTTTGTTATCTGCTCCAGAGGCCTTCAGGAAAGCCTTGCCGGCTGCAGAAGAAATGGGCCACCAAGGCAGGTGTCAGGAGGTGCGAGGCCTGGCTACACCTGTCCAAAGGTAAGTAGTAGGGCAGCTCCACCTCCCCTTCCCCACCCTAGCTTAATTTTTACCCATCCACTCTGGAGTGGGCGAGATCTTAATTAGGGCTTATTTTGGGGGGTAGGGCTTATATTGGGCACACATGTAAAAAATCAAGCTAGGACTTACTTTAAGGGGTAGGTCATATTTTCGGGGAAACAGGGTAAGCACCAGGGAACATTTGTCAGAAGGTTGCAAAAGGGGATCACGTGGTGACCCCCCCGGGGACATTTCATCCGTTGTAAATATGAGTCACTTGCCAAGCATCTAAATGAATCTGGATTTCACATTGACTTTGCGTTGTCAAGGTCGGAAAAGAAGATCACATGACCTTGAGACACAGCTGCAGTCATAAACATGCCAAGCCTCTGAATTTTGATCATGTGACCACGGGGCCGCTGCAACAGTCATTAAGTGTGAAAAACAGTCACCAGTCACTTTTATCAGTGCCGCTGTCACTTTGAACCATCACTAAACTTGTAATTGGAGGAGTACCTGTACTAATGGCCTTCATATTTATATATTTGTTGCTTCATTTCTGAAATTTTTATGCTACTCATCTCGCTGTCCACATTCATAGCAGATTTGGTTACAGAGCCCAAGGATTTATCTGCTGTTTAAATCTGAGGATTATTCCTAGAGTGTTCCTATTCTTGCAAAATATTACAACTGCGTAAAACCAACGGCAAGTTATTAGGACTTCTAATCCAGAAAAAAACCCAGCCAAGAGGTCAGGTGCACCAAGAGAAAAAAAGTGTTTTTGTCCCTGAAACAAAATTAATCTTCTCTCCTAAGCTAATCTACGGAGATGTTGATCTTAAATTAATGATTTCTAGGCAAGTTGCAACTTGCACGCTACTTTTCTCTTGCCATAAACAGGAAAAAAACCTTTCCACAACAGGATAAACATTGCATTCACCACCTAGGGCACAAAGGAAGGAAACATGGTACAAGTCAACTCTGTGTCAGGGCTCTGGTAATTACCCCCATTTAAATCATGAGTCGCTAGCTGGATTTTCAAAGCTTAAAGAAGATTTACTAGGAGTAAACATGCCGATGCTACTTGGGTGTAGCCAACTCTGAGACACATCATTCATAGTCACCCTTGACTTGGTTTCCCCCTCACCCATCCCCTAGGTGTATCATAATTCATATTCTCCAATGGGACACATCCATAGCCAGGAGTCATCAATCATACTCTCCAGTTAGAATTTTACGGAGGCAGAAACTTCTATAGCCTAGAAACTATCTATGAAAACATTTATGGAATGCAGTTTTAGTTTTGCAAGCTGGTGCACTGCTTCCCGCTCCCTTTCTGCTGGCAACTCTACAAACCCAGAGAAATATTTTATGAGTTGACATTCTGGCCATGGAGAAGAAAATCTCTTTCTGAAGGAATTGCTTAGAGTAGAGTAGATTAGAGTAGAGTAGAACAGAATAGAATCTTGATGAAGAATAGAATAGAAATAAAATTCAAAATACAATAGAAATAGAATAGAATAAACAGTTGGAAGGGGCCTAAGAGGTCTTCTAATCCAACCCCCTGCTCAAGCAGGAAACCCTATACTATTTCAGACAAATGGTTGTCCAATCTCTTCTTAAAAACATCCAGTGTTGAAGAATTCACAACTCCTGGGAGGCAAGTTGTTTCACTGATTAATTGTTCCAATAAATCCTTGTGAAGTTTTGGAAGTCTGGCTTGAGACTCATGATTTAAATGGGGGTAACTTCCGGAATCCTGAAAGTAACATTAAAGGAAAGTTGTAAAATGGGCAAACCAATTTCTTACCTAGCAACGTCAATTGTGGCCTCAACTTGTGATTGCAAGCCAAGGATCGAGCGAGCGCGGGAGATTTCAGAGCAGCCTTAAATTTACTGCAACCCATATCCTTAGTAAAAGAGCCCTTTGTTTAACCAAATGGAGTCAAAGGCTTTTCCTTTCTAAGAGATCGGGATTGGGGCAGGTGTGAGAAATTTTGTGCTAAGCGCAGCGAACTGTTTTGAAAAGTCAGACTTTTCCCCACATATTTCAGTTTCTTACTCTTCCGTCTAACCATTCATAAAATAAATTCCAAATCTTACAATTTTCCTTCCTGTTCTCTAATTGCTATTGTTAATCAACTCATTTCTGCACATTCCATTATTTTCTTAATTGTTTCCTCCTCTGTCGGAATTTTCTCATTTTCCCAGTTTTGTGCAAATACAATTCTAGCTGCTGTTAATACATTGATAATCAAATATGTTATATCTCTGTTATAATCTTCAGGCAAAATTCCCAATAAAAATATCTCCGGTTTTATATCTATATGTTGTTTTATCATTTTTTTCTAACCACGTGTGTATTCTAGCCCAATATCTTTTAGCATCAAGGCATGGCCACCACATATGGTAATATGATCCAGAAGAGTAAAAAACCAAAATATGTGGGAATATTTAATAATATATAATTGATTGATATTGAATGAGTCAGAAAATGAATATAATTTAATAAGGATGAAATATATTCTCGAAAAATAATAAGTATAAGGTTATTGATAAGACAAAAATTGTCCAAAATGATATAAAATGTTGATTAGATTGGTTATAAATATAAGCAAGTAAGAAATGTATTATATTATTATGTGCGCAAGATATATGTATCCAACCGACACACTGTTGAACCGAAAGATGGTTTTATTTGTTGTTGTTTTTGTTATAAAAATATTTTTTTTAAAAAAAAAGGAAAAGAAAAGTAAAGTCAAACTTTATACTCACTGACGAAACGCTGCCATGGTATTCTCCAGATTCTCTCCTGCACCTGTGGAAGGAAAAAAATTGGTAATAGTAAGACTTGGCTTTTACAGACCCTCCTTGACTTACAACCATCCATTTACTGACTGTTTGAAGTTACAAGGGTGCAGGAAAAAAAGTGACTCATAGTTTTCCCCTCCATTGCAACCATCCCGTGGTCAAAATTTGGGCGCTGGGTAACAAGCATGCATTTATGACATACGTATTTTGCAACCTTCCGAGCCAGCTTTGGACAAGCAAAGTCAATTGGGCAAGCTGGATTCAACAACAACAGCAGCAAATCTTCCAATGTACCACTGTTGCCACTTTGTCAGGCCGCTGCTTGTAGTCAGTTTGTGCAATCTTCTTGCAGTCGCTTACCAGGACGCCCACTGTTTCTTCAGCTTACCAAGTGGGTCCAAGAAGCTGAAGAAACGGTGGACCGACCACCTGGTAAGCTGCTGCAAGAAGATTGCACAAACTGACTACAAGCAGCGGCGTGACAAAGTGACAACAATGGTGCATTGCAAGATCTGCAAGAAATATCATTTGCCTGTAAGCAAGAACTGGTGGGACCATAAAATAGAAAAAAGTCTTAGAAAATGAAGCAGTTAAATTGGTCTGGGGCTTCAGAATCCAGACAGGCAGGCACCTGCCACGTAACACCCCGGATTTAACAGTTGTTGATAAGACAGACAAAAATGTCTGGGTAGTGGATGTGGCAGTGCTTGGAGACAGCAGAGGAGAAGAGAAAGAACTGGAGAAGATAACAAAATACAAAGACCTACAAATAGAAATAGCAAATACAAGCAAGGGTAGTACCAATAGTAATAGGTGCCTTGGGTGCAGTCCCAAAACAACTGCAGCACCACTTGAACACCATCAGTGGCATTGAAAAATTTGCCATCGGTCAATTGCAGAAGGCAGCTTTGCTTGGCACAGCTTCCATTCTGCAGCGATATCTGTAACACTGTCAAACATCCAGATTTGCCTATCTCAGGTCCTTGGTAAGGACTTGATAGGTAGACAAAAACCAGTCTGAACATCTGGCTGACTGTGCGATGAATAATGATAAACTCACTTAAGGACTGCACGATTCACTTAACAACTGGGGCGATTTGCTTCACAATTGTGGCAAGGAAGGACATAAAATGGGGTCTCGTTTAAAAGAAAGCCCTTACTTAATTTGTTACAATTGCAGGATTTTTCTGGATTTTTCTCCCTTTTAAATAGTGTCTTGGTTGTAGAACCTTGTGTTCTTCTGGCACCTTTAAGACACAATTTTTTTAAAAAAAATCCCAGAGTTGACCAATGGCCTCCTTGTGTATCTATGGTGATTCTCAGTCCTCCAGATCACGATAGTCCCAAAAGTGCTTTTTTAAAAGGCAACTGGACTCGGTTTTTCCTTGAAGTCGTTTCGCTTCTCATCCAAGCTGCTTCTTCAGTTCTGACTGAGAACTGAACGGAAGAAGCTCCTTGGATGAGAAGCGAAATGTCTTCAAGGAAAAACAAACTCCAGTTGCCTTTTGGAAAAGCACCTTTTGGGATGGCCTTCTTGGGCCTTTTTCAGCTTGACAGAGATAGTGACTCTCGAGTGTTCCTGTTGTGTTTCTCTCTCTGTTGTTAGGCAGACCCGGGTGTGGCTTGTGTGTGGGGATTTCCCCTTCAATCCTTTCCTGGTACACCAGGCTTGTGAGGAAAGGAAAAATTATAACGCAATGGGCACGGCAGCAAAGAGGCCTACTTTTCAGTCGTGGTGAAGCCCCAGGTGTGGGAGATCCCTGAGAAGAGATTCAGTGGGCACCCGTCCTTTCTTGGCCTGTTCTGAATTTCCTTCCAGTCAAGCTTGACTTATGGGTCCTACTGGTTTTGGAGATGGAGAAACTTCTCCGTGAATGTTTCTTTAGGTTTTGCTCCCTCCTTCCCTTCCTCTCTCCTTCCTTCCTTCCTTCTCACTCTCCTTCCTTCCTCTGTTTCCTTCCTTCTCACTCTCCTTCCTTCCTTCCTTCCTTCTCTCTCCTTCCTCCCTGTTTCCCCCCTCACTTCCTGTTTCCTTCCTTCCATCCTTCCTCCCTGTTCCCTTCCTTCCTTTTCACTCTCCTTCCGTTTCCTTCCTTCTCACTCCCTTCCTCTTTCCTTCCTTCCTCCCTTTTTCCTTCCTTCTCACTCTCCTTCCTGTTTCCTTCCTTCCTTCCATCCTTCCTCCATTTCCTGCCTTCCTTCTCACTCTCCTTCCTTCCTTCCATTTCCTTCTTTCCTTCCTTCTCACTCTCCTTCCTTCTCTCTCCTTCCTTCCTCCGCAGTCTCCTTCCTGTTTCCTCCCGTCCTCCGTTTCCTTCCTCCCTATTTCCTCCCTCACTTCCTGTTTCCTTCCTTCCATCCTTCCTCCCTGTTCCCTGCCTTCCTTCCTCCATTTCCTTCCTTCCTCCTTCCTTCCATCCTTCCTCCGTTTCCTTCCATCCTTCCTCCGTTTCCTTCCTTCTCACTCCCCTTCCTTCCTTCTCTCCTTCCTTCCTCCGCACTCTCCTTCCTTCCTTCCTGTTTCCTCCCTCACTTCCTGTTTCCTTCCTTCCTGTTTCCTCCCTCACTTCCTGTTTCCTTCCTCTATCCTTCCTGCCTGTTCCCTTCCTTTCCTTCCCTTCCTTATTTTTTACAAATACCTGAAGGCAGAGAACAAATCCAACACACCTTCTTCCTCCTATTTTCCTCACAACAACCCTGTGAGGTGGGCTGAGAGAAAGTGACTGGACCAAGACCATCCAGTTGGCATTCATGCCTAAGGGGGAGACTAGAACTCACCGACTCCTGGTGATTGATTAAAAGTCACCCCATTGCTTTCATGCGTAAGGCAGGACTAGAACTCACCATCTCCTGGTTTTTAGCCTGGTACCCTTCCCCACATGCCAACATTTCAGTCCAATAAACCCTGTTTCAGACAGCTAAAAGCAAAAGTCCCTGTCTGAAGACGAGGCTGCCTATCAAACACTCATTAATTTCTAATCTGAAGTAACTAATCCCAAAGGTGCTTTTTTCAAGAGGCAACTGGACTTTCTGGTTTTGCTTTGAAGACGTTTCGCTTCTCATCCAAGGAGCTTTTTCGGCTCTGACTGGATGGTGGGGAATGGAAGGATTTATACTCCTTGCAGACAGCTTGGTCATTTGCATCCTTTTTAGAAAGTCGTTGAGGCCACTTGGAGGTTTATCTGTGTCTTCAGGGTCACCCGAGTGGTGCAAATGGGTGTGGAGCCTTCTTGGAACTGCTGAAAGGACTGTGTTGTAGGCCGGAGACAGATGTACCCCTCCCTCTCTGTTGACAGAGGGGTGTTCAATTTGGACATAGATGGCCTCTTTGAGATCCTTCTTTCAAACCAGCAGTCCCCTCTGTCCAAAATGTGGACTTTGCTGTCTTCAAAAGACCGGCATTTTGTCTTTCAAATGCAGATGGACCACTGAATCTTGGGGGGGGGGGGGGGGGGGGGGTTTCTCCTATATTTGGCCATGCACTTGTGAAGTGGTTGTTTTGTTTCCCCAATGTACAGATCTGCTCATGGCTCACTGCGCTGTACTGTATACACCGCGTTGCTCAGTTTATGTCTGGGGGTTCAGTCCGAGCGGAAGAAGCTTCCTGGATGAGAAATAAAACCTCTTCAAAGAAAAACAAAGGAAGTCAGTCCAGTTGCCTCTTGAAAAAGCACCTTTGGGACAACCCCGACTGGGATGATAGAGAAGCTCCACAGATATTTACTGTTCTGTGTGGGATGGGGGAAGCTCTGTCCTTCACCTAAAGCAGTGGTTCCCAACCACCGGGCCCCGGACTGGTACCGGTCCATGGATCATTTTGTACCGGGCCTCCTATTTTGCTTGGGCGCCGCCATCTTGTTTCGACGGCGCTTGAGAAAGTGCTTCCGGGTGAGCTTGTCGGTCGCCGGTTGGAAAGCGGTGTTTGGGTACCGAAGGAATCCTCGCGCCTTAGTTTCGTCGAAGGGGGCGGCAGCTTCGAACGAAGAGCTGTCCCGATGGCGGTGGAGTCTCGCGTTACTCAGGAGGAGATTAAGAAAGAGCCCGAAAAGCCCATCGGCCGCGAGAAGGTACAAAGGAGGAGTTGAAGGTGGCGGGGAGAAGCGGGGGACGGCTGGCTGGCTGGTTGCTTGGCTCGCCTTGCCTTGGTCGTGCGTGCTGATGCCGGTACCGGTCCATGGATCGGTCCGTGGTACAAAAAAGGTTGGGGACCACTGACCTAAAGATAAAGCTCCCCTTCACACATCTGTGCCAGTCATTTCCAGCTCTAGGGGGCAGTGTGCTCATCTCCGTTACAAAGCGAAAGAGCCAGCGCTGTCCGAAGACGTCTCCGTGGTCATGTGGCCGGCATGACTAAACGTCCAAAGATGCACGGAACGCTGTTCCCTTCCCATCAAAGTGGTCCCTATTTTTCTACTTGCATTTTTCTTACATGCTGTCGAACTGCTAGGTTGGCAGAAGCTGGGACCAGTAACTGCAGCTCACTCTGTTACAGGGGGCTAGGCATTCGAGCCGCCGACTTTTCTGATCGACAAGCTCAGTGTCTTAGTCACTGAGCCAACGTGGGACGAGCCAGGGCGTGACACAAAAATAGCCAAGTCACAAAAATAGAAGGAAGTCCCTTTAATGCCTCCAACTTGGCCCCAAAGTCCAATTAGCCTTGGCAGGATATCAAACTCTTAAAGAAAACAGTTTACGGAGGGAGTAAATGCAGTCCGCACCCAAAGTAAAGTTAATTCAAAATAAAAAAAACCAACACAAACTACACTGAAGGAATTACTATGGGCAGGCAAGGATGATTAATTGCAGACTTCTACCAGATAACGCAGCAACCACAGTTGAGAGGAAGCCAAAACACAGATAAGCTCCAACAAGAATGCACGCTTTGCTTCCAGCACCTTTGCCATGCGCAGTTTGTCCTTTTAACCAGTCCTCCCAGCCGCAGCCCATGAAGGGGATCAGGGCCCCTTCCTCCCCCATAGACCAGCCACTCATGTTTCTCACTAATCC